GACTGGCCAGAGGAAGGGAACAGCTAAAGAACAGGGGTCGACTTGGGAGTAAGGCCACAGGTGGACGGTGAATGGCCCCTCCCAGAGGAAGTAAAAGAGGAGCGACAGGGGAGTGGAGTTTGCAGGAGACCATTAGTTCACTTAATTGGTTTGGGACTCTCCAAGGCTCCGTTTCTGACTTAGCGGTGTAAATCCTGGGCTCAATTGTCGTTAAGTCGAGGACTTGCAAGGAGTGAGAATGGGGCCCATCTTTTATCGTTGCAGGCAATGTCGGGGCCAATGCCAAACACCGATTTCTCCTTTTTCGACAGGCTTCCCCTTGGGGTACCTATATGACCACTTGGGATATGCCCCTCAAAATCCCACCGGCCAAGGTCTCACTCACCTCCCGTTCTATAGACGCGGCCGCCCGGCTCACCGAATGGATGAATAAATCGGCAGCATTAAGCCAAGCGTGCAACGGATTGTGTCCAGAAATTGTCGGCAAGGTAAACGGCAAAAGGAGAATATTTGTAGCTGTTGAGTTGAACGGTGGATGGAGCTCCTTGGTGCTCTCTGAGCTTGGTGGTTTTGTTGGAGACGTTTCCTGACCCTACTAGGTAACATCGTCAGAGCTAGAAGGGAGAGGGGTTTGCGAAGAGCGGGAGGGTCAAGTGGAGTCAACGAATGCTTGCTAAGTCGTGGACTCCCTAGATAGGAGATAAGTCTAACGGTTCTCTTCCGCCCTGCAGCCCTCCATCCCCGTGATCAAGGAAGCCGTCTCTAACCACCCCCGGAACTCCGGGAAAACGTCCGAGCGTCCTGTCTCTTCCGGCAAGATGCCGGCCTTCGAAGAAGTCGGCTCCCGGGTAGGGGCTACCCCCAACGGCCCACTGTCCCGTCAGCCCGGCAGCATGGACCTCCGGCTGAAAGACGTCGGTGGGCCCGACGCCCAGGACGCCGAGTTGGAGGCCAAGCCGCCGCAGGAGAGGAACAGCGACGACATCCCGCTGTCGCGTCAACCGGGTTGCATGGATCTGCGTCTGAAGGACACCAGCCCCCAGCTGTCCACCTCTAACCGCCCCGGCTCGCGGGAGCCCACCCCGAGGCGGACGATCTCCGCCGAGGCCCCCCCGTCCGGCCGACCCCGGTCCCGGGAAACGAGGCCCAAAGGCTTAGGGACCCCCGACCATTTGTCCCCTTGTCGTCCGGGGTCTCTGGAAGCCAACCCTCGTCCGGGGTCCCTGCAGGTCAACCCTCGGGGTGACCGTTCGCCGGAGGTGTTGCCCCCAAGCCGTCCCCTTACGAAAAGCAGGCAGGGGTTAGAGGTGCCCCAAACGGGAGGTGCCGAAAGGAATGCGTTCCGACCCCTTTCCTCTACATAAATCTTCCCGGAAGGCCAGATTTAATAAAAGAAAACAAACAAACAAAAAATCAATTACCAATGCTTAAAAAAAAAATAGTGGAAGGCACCAGTGTGTTAAAAGCCTTTCCTTCTGTGTTTTTTCCCCATTTTTTTGTGGTTGTTTCGCGCTCGTCCTCGTTCAGTTCCGTCCTCCCACGCCTCGCCCCTCTCCGTCTCCAAAGTCCCGTTTGCATCTTCGTAAATTGGCTGAGAGAGCCCACCCACCCCCCCTAAAAATATATATATAGGGCTGGTTTTGCCGACTTGCACCCCGCTCGTCCCCGTGCGCGCTCTGGGAAACGGGACACCGGTGGGAGGTTCAACCATCCGTGGGATTACCAACGCAAGTGCAAGGGTTCGAAAAGAAACCGAAATTCACAAGGAGCGGCGGGACAATGGAAGGGTGCTGTTAACACCGGAGGGTTCCCCCCCCCTTAATAATTAATAAAGCTAATTGGCCATTGAATTTGCAGCTGTTTTTCCTGATGGGACGGGACTTGATTTAAGCTACGGTTCTAAAAGTTTTGCCTTTGACAGTCTCAGGATTTTCGATGACAATTAATTTTTGGACTATTAAAAGAAACCTGTTTTAGCAATTCCCACCCGTTCGGCTTTGCAGATGCTCCGCACACCTAGATCAAAACGTTTTTAAAAACGACATCAAACGAACGGCTTTTAAAATAAATAAATAAAAGGTTTTCAGATGGATGGAAGCTAAATCTAAGGGCTAGGAGAAAATCATCTGTCTATGGGATGCGTGGGAAAATAATTGGAGGGCGCGTCAAGTTATATTTTTAATTTGTTCCATCATTTAATTCACTGCCAAACGGCTGGAAAAATATTCTGCTTTGAGAGTTTGCAAGTGAATTAGGTAAAGGTTCCCCTCGCATGTATGTGCTAGCCGTTCCCGACTCTAGGGGGCGGTGCTCATCTGTTTCAAAGCCGAAGAGCCAGCACTGTCCGAAGACGTCTCAGTGGTCATGTGGCCGGCATGACTCAACGCCGAAGCCGCACAGAACGTTGTTCCCTTCCCACCAAAGGTGGTTCCTATTTTTCTACTTGCGTTTTTTACCTGCTTTCGAACTGCTCAGTTGGCAGAAGCTGGGACAAGTCACGGGAGCTCGCTCCGTTAACACGATGCTAGGGATACGAACTCCCGACCTTGATCAACAAGCTCGGCATCTTAGCCACTGAGCCACCGCAGCAAGTAAATTACTGCCCGTTTTTTGAAAAATTTATTTATTTAGCTTCATCTTTTAAGACGGTGTGGCAGGATAGCCGGCCAATAAATGTAATAAATAAATAAAATCCAAGAGAAGGAAACGAAAGTCCATTATTTGGAAGGATGGGCTCTTAAATCGGTCTGTTTCAATGGCGATGCTGAAATCTGAAAAGACGCCCCTCGGATTTTAAACCTTCCCCCCATCAACGAAAGCAAACAAGTCGATTTTTCAACGTTTATTATTAACCGGAAAATAATCTTCATGGAGTTGGGGTGGGTGGGTGGACAAACCCCCCAAGAGAAGAGACTTCATTTCGGGAAAGGGGGCTGTGACAGCCAGCTCAACGTTCACAAGTGGAAAAGCAAAATCGAGACGGGTATATTTACAGAAAACTAAACGGGTGGGTTATATTTTTTTAGGGAGGGGAAGTCTTTTGACGTTGGTTCAAAAGCGACCAGGAACGATTAATCCGAACAATTAATTTAATTAAGGCCGAGGAAAAAAAAATCTGCCCAAAATTTAATTGCAAAAGTAGGGGCTGTTCCTGACCCCCCCCCCCCCTACCGCCTTGCAAAGCAAAGTTTGCAAGATTTCACCCTGCCTTCACACGCACCCAAACACACCCAAACACACGTCCCTCCGAGCTCCGGGCCCACTTGGAAAAACAACAATCATAAAAGCCAGACTGGAGGTTGTCAAACCAATGTGTGACTCTTCTCCGCCGGCTCGCTCTCAATGGACGGCGTTGTTCCTTTTGCGGAATGGGTGTGCGCCCACACATTCGTTTGCACGCTGGCCCCAGGTGGTTCTTTCAAAGGGGGAGATTGTTCTTGAGAAAGCAGCGGAGAGCAAAGGGGCTCGCGTTCGGCCCGTGGGAGAATGTCAGTTTCGAAAGCTCAGCTGAGTTTTTTTTAAGCGGCGGGGTTTTAAGCCTCGATCAGGGGGGAAAGAGTAAAAATTGTGGCTCTCTCGCGATGAAAAGAAGTGAAGAAAACTAATAATAATGAGAATGAGAAAGTTCCTACCAGAATCCATGGAGAACGGTCTCCAACTGTGTAAAGGAAAAAAAAAAATGTGAATTTGGCCGATTTCAGCCCCTTCCAATTATTTTTCTAATTAACAAGCCGAAGTCCTTGATTGAGCCCCATTTTTTTCGGGGGTGCAAAGTTAGAAAGTTGGGGAGCGAGCAAAGGGAGAGGCGTGTTTCGTATCTCATCACATGGCCGCGATCCCAAGGGAAGAGAAAACCGTCAGGATGAGAACCAGTACACCTGACTGGTATAACTGGGGTATCTTGAAACCCACGCCCATGTCCCAGGCCTACAAAAGAGGAGACAAAGAGGGCGTCATAACACGAGGAATTAGAAGGTTAACCAGGGGGTAGCACCCAGCTGACCTCTCCCAAATGCATTCTAACCATTGTGCAGGAAAGGAAGGAAGGAAGGAAGGAAGGAAGGAAGGAAGGAAGGAAGGAAGGTAGGTAGGTAGGTAGGTAGGTAGGTAGGTAGGTAGGTAAGTACAAAGGAAGGAAAAGAGGAAGGATGGAGAGATGGATGGAAGGAAGGTAGGTATGAAGGAAGGTAAGAAAGAAGGAAGGAAGGAAGGATAAGAGGAAGGAAGGAGAGATGGATGGAAGGTAAAAAGGAAGGAAGAAAGGAAGGAAAAGAGGAAGGAAGGAAGGAGAGATGGATAGAAGGAAGTAGGTANTTCCCTCCTTCCTTCCCTCCTTCTCTCCTTCCTTCCCTCCTATTATTAAGTATTATTTACTTTTTGGGGGGAGTTAAAAATCTCTTTTCCTGCTACAAATCGACCCCCTTTCAGCCCCCCCCCCCCGCAACAGGTTCTGCCCCTATTTTCATCCCGTTTTGGCCCGTTCCCACATTATACACACAAACCCAAGGATATATTGATTTATTAGATCAATATAAAGCTCAATATAGAATAAATACATTGATATATCGATCGATTGCTTTCTATGTTTTCATTTCCCAACCCTCCCGCTTGGTTTTTCCAGTACGAAGATGCCTATAACCCACGGAATTTGCAAAGCTGGAGTCTTCCCAAGGTTACTAAAGCGGTGAGTCGCTTTGAAGATAACCCCCCCCCTCAAAAAACCCCCTATTTTGGGTTCACACGATCGGCTAAATCCTGGATGTAGCCAATTGGGGTTGTCAGAATTCGTCTCATGGAGTTTGCTTGCGCTTCGCGTGTCCTGCGGGCTTACAAATTTGGGGCAATGCTCAATGGCAGTTCAGGGCATCCTGAAGATATTAGCGGATCTTCAAAATGGATTGAAATTCTAAATTTCCTCCTTTTGCTTGGAAAAAAAAAGGCTGCCTTTCCTTTCAAGTTTAGGCTGTGCTTGAATTTAGGGACCGAGCCCCCATTTCGAGCTTTGAAATAGCTGCAGTCGTTAAGTAAGTCACTCAGTCGTTAAGTGAATCAGGCTTCCCCACCCGTCACTTTGCTGTTTGGAAGCTGTTTGGGAAGCCACAGCAACTATTGCAAATCGATGCCAGTTGCCAAACGTCCAATATTTGATCATGGTCAACAGTTACAGAGTTGGAAGGGGCCTTGGAGGTCATCTAGTCCAACCCCCTGCTCAAGCAGGAGACTTCGTGGCACAGTGGGGTCTTGAGTTATGGAAAGGGGGGGGTTGCGGCAGGATGTGTTTGGGGAGGGAAGAAAAAGGAGGAAGGAGGAAGTAAAAAAGGAGAGAGAGAGAAAGAAAAAGAAAAAGAAAAGAAAGGGAGGAAGGAAGGAAAGATGGAGGGAGGGAAGGAGGGAAGGCAGGGAAGAAGGAAAGAGGGAGGGAGGAAGGAAAGAAGGAAGGAAGGAAAAAGAAAAGGATGAAAGGAAGGAAAAGGGAGAAAGAGGGAGAGAAGATAGAAAGAGGAAAGAAAGAAGGAAAAAGGGAAAGGACGGTAAGGAGGATGGAAGGAAAAAGAATGGAGGGAGAAAAGAGGGAGGGAGGACGGAAGGAAGGAAGGAAAAAGGGAGGAAAGGATGAAAGGAAGGAAAAGGGAGAAAAGAGAGAGGGAGGGACGGTAGAGGAGGGAAGGAAGGAAAGAGGGAAAGAAAGGAAGGAGGGAGGAAACAATGGCTAGATGGAAGGAAGGAAAAGATGGAGGGTTGGATGGAAAGAAGAAAGGGAGGTAGGAAGAAAGGAATAAAAACCTGTACTAGGGATTCGGACCGCCGGACTGCCAAGCTTGCTGATCGACAAGCTCAATGTCTTAGCCACTTAGCCGCCTAGTCAGGACTGTGGCTGTGAGGGAAACGCTACGACGGACATAAGCGTGAGGACCAGTCCCTTTCTTCTTTAAGGCTGGATTGTAAATGTAATAATCTATAAAATAAATTATAAAGGTGTCACAGTTGTAAAAAGTGTCTGTTCTCGGCCCTTGGTTCCACTTCTTGTGTCTGATTATATTACGTATTTTAATTGTTTATGCACTTTGAGTCAAGTTTTGTAAAGTTTCTCCCCCCTCCCCACAAAAAAAACGGGAAGAGTTATGGGGAAGAGTTTTTTATGAGATTGTGGGCTTTTGTTTCTGGATGAATATGGATTCGTGTTAATAATGAACGGGGAGGTTTAAAACCAAGAGCAGGGAAAGTATTAAATCTTGCCAGATGAAATCTAAATGGATGAGTGCATTTTCATTCTTTTTATTTTTAATTTTTTTTTTGAAAGGAATGTAGGCAGAGAAGAATAAGAAAGAACAAGAGTGGGATGTGAATTGTGTGCCTTAAATTATCAGAGGCATCTTCGAGGTTTCGTTTGCTAATGAATAATGCATTTCACATTGTTATTGGATTGTAATTCTAATTCTATTTTATTCTATTCTGTTCTGTTTCTATTTCTATTCTCTTCTCTGTTCTATTTTCTGTTTTCTTTTCTCTTCTCTATTCCATTCCGCTCCGTGCCCTTTCGTTCCACATTTCATCTGCATTATATCGTATTCTGAATTTTATCCTGTATTTTATCCTGTATTCTATTCTATTCTATTCTATTCTATTCTAT